CAGCGGTGGGAACTATGGATCCCTGGAATAAAAACGCCAATTGCTGAGGAACTTTTATACAGCAGCTACCAAATGTTAGAAACCTGCTTGAGTTCCTTAAGCCTTTGTTTTTGATAATATTATACTTTGCTGAATCTCAAGAAATTTACCAATTTCAAAATTTATCTCCATAATTTTCTGGTTTGCTGAAAAGTCACTTTCACAGATATTACTATTTATTATACATGTGTTCCATTAGAAGCATTTTGAAAAAAAGAATTTTCAATGGTAATGCATTAACATATATAATAATTTCAGATGATGGTAACCAATAGTATAAATTAAATAACTATATCTGACTTTAAAATATATTCACGAGTACTTACAGGTTCAACTACTGCCGGTTCTCCTTTTTGGCCCTTTTCTCCATATGCACCATGACCATTTATCTATTGAGCACAAATTCATTAGGTAAATAAAGCCAGTTTCAATTGAAAAAAAAAAAAAAAGGAGAGGTGGGAGAGGAGGCATGCAGTCATCAAAACATTTTAAATGAATTAAGAAAATGTATGTTTTCTTAATTAGAAAGCTATTAAATGTTTTTGCGCAAGTATTAGAAAGAATGTGTATTAATACTGATTTTTCCATTAAGATTGATTGTTCACTGATAAATAGACATAACGTACCTTTCTAGAACTCATTTCATTATTTCAAGGTATAACAATATGTCATGTTAATTTTAATAAAATGGTATAACACCAAAACTTAAATTTGTGATTCTGCATAATAAAGGCTATATTTCAATCTTATAAATGACAAGAAACATGGGTTTGAATTCTATTCAATATTTATACTTTAAAGAAAAGACCAAGGGTGAATACAGAAGATAAAACCTCTGAAAATTCTTAAGAGTCAATTTGATTAAGTTATTCGAGAAGTAATAAATATTCAAAGTTTATAAATGAATAGAGCATGCATTTTAAAACCTGAAAGCCTGTCGTGTATATGAAAATATTATAAAAACTAAGAGGTACAGTGACATAGATTCTAGCGCTGACTTACGCTTGTTTCTGTGATATCAGTCTCTGCTGGCACACCTGGGCCAAATTCTTCAATAGTGGGGCTTGTTGGTTTCTCTTCATATTCTTTATATTCATAAAAATCATATTCGCCTAAATCTCCATCTACCAGAAGATCAGAATCCCTGCCGTCTATTCTTTTGCTTTCATACAGTGTATCCTCAGAATTTTTCCTCTGGGCATCATAATCCTCTCCAGTTAGATATTCTTCAGTAAATACATCTTCAACTGGATTTGGCTAATTCGTTATGTTGTAAGGAATTGGAGAACATGAAGTTTATTGTTAGTGAAGCAAGGTAAGCACCGGCAATTACAGTTTGATTACGCGTCACGGAAGTGATTGGAACACAAAGCAAGCCAGTCACACTGTGAGAAGGCCTGGAAAGCGAGTCTCTCAGGAAAAACAGAAGGAATATATCTGTACTTTGGGATGTACAAATAAATATTGCTATCAACATGTTTTTCCCAATAAACCACAAATATTCACATGGAGTCAACATGTGTATTTGTTCCACTAAAAAGTATTAATCAATTTAATTTTGACTTTATAGTTGTAGATGGTAATAAATAAGAAGCCATAAACTTCAATCTTTGCTTAACTTTAAAATATCACAAAATATCTTCATGAAATATAACTGTTACCTAGGTTGATATATTATGACCATTACAAATGTCCATTTATTTTTGCTATAACTATGCAACAATTTAGTATTTAGGTGGATATTCTTTCATCATAGTATGTTAAAAATAAAACTTAAATTATATTCTACGGATTTAAGGTAATGCAATAGGATATATCACTATACAAGTCATTAAAAAGTAGAAACTATTCACTTAAGAGTCCCACCATTCAGACTGCTGTCATGTTGATTCTGACTTATGGCAACCCTGTATGACAGGTTAGAACTACTGCTGTGGGTTTGAGGCTGTAAATATTTATTGGAGTAGAAACCCTCATCATTCTCCTGACATCTAGGAATTACTTTTAAGTGAGTCGATTGAGTAGATGACATTAATAATACTTCATCGTAAGTATAAAAATGTAAACCTGTTATAATTCCTTATTAATATCACAGATCTAAATTATGTGTATTTGCAAACTGTTTAGACTTTTGGTTATGCTGTGACATAAATGCCATGTTTTTTGCTATTCTTTGATTTTTCACTTTTAAATATTTTCACTTTTAAATAATTTTCTTGAATGTTTAATGTACAATAATGATAATATGTGAACTCATAAGTAAGGAGAAAATACTATCTATAGAAGTTTATTATTAGAGTCAGAATACTACTATATTCATCACTTTGAATTAAAGTTAGATATATTAGAGATGTAAATAAACATATTTAAACAATATGCCCATTTTTGCAAAATTAATTTATAGTAGATAAACATTGAACTTCATCCTCATCCTAAATTGTTCATGTTCTAAATAATGTTAGATGTAAAAAAACCACTTAGCTTATTTGTCTCACTGAGACACATGTAACACATATATATTTTCTAGTAACTAAATTACTCGGGTAATCCTCACATAAATATTTGAAAAAATATAAGTAATTGTGATGTCAGATAAATTAGCTAACTAAAACTGAATTGTATTTTTTAAGGGGTTGAATATATGTTCAGTCTGACAATCATGGAGTGTTTGGCTTGAACCTTTATGTTCTACAGTATTTTCATAGGGAAAAAAAACTTTAAAGTTATATTATTTTAACCCTAAGAAGCATCATAACACTACATCCTTAATATGTTTGGAAATGTAAATAGCTGTCAAAATACACTCAAGTTGCCTTTTGCTCCCACAAATAATGAATGTCATAAACATGCATGATTATTGGTCATGTAGAATAAAGTCTTACTGTATCATCTGATGATACAATTTTCACATTAGAGGATTTCCTCCTCCGACTCAAACCACGTTGTGACTGTCCATTGTCACAACATGTTGAAAATGTGTTTACTCTCAGAAACAAGCAAGAAAAGGAAAGCAGCCAATTCAGGGTGATCAATTTAGCAATTGCATGAAGCACAGTATCATGCAAAATCTGAATTGGAATTATTTTGTAATTAACTGCTTTCAGAAATAGCAAACCAAAGAATGCTATTGTTTCTCTTACTACAACAAAACTGCTCAGGGATTTCAAATTTATCCAGAGTAAGGTATATCAAAGGGTACTACCCAAATTTAATATATCGATATAGATTACCTCATTTGTGCCGTGTGCACGTCTAGGCGCTTCTGTCTGGTAACTTCCCATGGTTCCGTAGTTGTATTCTTGGAAATCATCAATGACATTCGCCTAATAACAGATTCGAAAGGAAAACAACTCAGGAAAATGAAAAGCAAGCCCGACATACGGGAACCCGGATTTAATTGTGTTACGGAATTAGCCCGCTGCGTATCGACCGAGTTTGGTTAGGACGAGGACTGCGCATCAGAGATCTTCCAGTTTAGCCCGGAGAGATCTTGATTGTTTGGCTTTGCTACCTTTACCCCTAGCTTGGCCTTGGCTGCGGCTTGGGAACTTTTCTTCTTCCTGGAGGCAGTTTTCTCAGATTTGGGGGGTGTAAACTTTTTGGACTTTTCCTTTGACTTAGTGGCCACTGTCTTTGTCTTCTTTTTGAAATTTGATTTCTTTTTCTATAAAATGTGACGAAAGATGGAACGGACAACATAAATACAAGGAAAAGGGATGTGAAGGGCATGAATGAAAGAATGGATAAACAAAATGAGTAAAATTTCTTCAGGGCAGGTACTGTAAAAAAAGTCAGTTATGATATATAGAAGTAGGCTGAATGAAAAGCTTATGATACGTCTAAGGCACAGAGGACATGAAGAATCACAGAACATGCAACAGGCACCACATACAACGGCACCGCTTTGTTTTTACCTCTGTTTGTGCTACTGTCTCCTCAGCTACAGTAGGCATCTCTGTTACACTTTCAGCCTCTTTATATTCTGTTTCCCCATACTCATAGTCATATTCGATTATATCCTCAGGTGCATACTACATTGCAAAGGAAAAATACCAGGCAATTTTGTTAGTTGCAAGTAACATATATTAACAAAGTGGGAATTCTCTTAACTTTTACTTGGAGTAAATGTTAAGAGAAATGGTAATACAGTCATTCTCTAAAAGTTAATGTATGTATTACACGGAAATATTATACTTTCTTATACAGAGTATAATAACATATAAATAATAAAGCAAGTTTTCTAAAGGCAGAAAAGTGGCCTATTTCTAAAAGCACAAAAGGAATTGTAAGGAACTAAAATTTTGAATATTGATTATGGGCAATTATTGCTTGGATATAGTTGCTGACCATCGTTGTTAATTTTGACTCATAAAAATTACTATGCACTACTGCTCTATAAGAATTTCAATGTTAATCGGAATGGTTGCATATAATTTTCATTAAACCACACATTTTAAAGAAAAATATGGAAAGTAATTTCCCAGAGGAATTTTCCAGAACTTTTGCCTCTATGGTGAGAGGGCAAAGAAAGGGAAGATGAAAGAAGGAAATACAAAACCTCAAACGAGTCTGATCTATCAAGAAGGCTGCAATCGATGGTGGGGCGGGGGGGCGCTTATTCAAACAGCTCAGCGGTCTCTGATAGACTGTATAGACGCTATAACCACCAACATAGCACATACCTAACCCCATCCCATGGGGACATTATTTACTCTAGCCCTTGAAAAATTAGCAACACCAGAAATAAATTTTTCTAGACTGATCTGGAAGTCATTTTCAAATATAAATATAAGTATGACTTTAGTGTTCCTTATGATTGTTGAAACTCAAATTGGATGAAATGAGCTGAAAAAAGATTTGTTATTAAAATTGAGTCTGGTAAAGATTTACAACTCTTCTTAATATGATTAACTTTTCAATTGCATGATATGTGATGGGCAAAAAAAAACTTTATAAAAGAAAAATAATTGTAACTATATCCCTATAATAATAGTTTAAAGATCAATTAATATATAGCTGATTCAATAGTTTTATGGGGTTTTTCCTATTTGATAAAATGAAAAAATGCCTAAATATTATAGCTTAGACATTTTTGCTTGTATGTCTCTGCAAGAAATTAGTCCATTATTAAAAAACATCATGAAGTAAATAAAAATTAAATAATGTAATCACATATTAAATAGATATAAGTAGAGATTGACTAAGCTCTATTGAGTAATTTTTCTAAAGTTATGTTCATCAATTTTGAAGTAAGAAATATTGGATTTACATAACTATTGGCTGCTATTTTTAAGTACAATAAAAGTTTAAGTACAGACTTACTGACTAATTTTATACTTTAAATAGTTAAAATTTTACCAAAATTTTAGAACCACATGTATCTCTAATAAGAGTACTTAATATATACTGAGTACTCTAATAAGCACTCTAGTAAGTATTCTAATAAGAGTGTTTAATATGTACTTAATAATATACTGAGAACAAAACATATATAAACAAAACATTTAATCTTTTGTTGGAAAATAAAACCAAACCATCAAAATTTTAATTTTGAGTAATATTTTATTCAAATTTTATTGTATAGCCTGGAATAGAATTGTATTTTGAAGATGTTTCTGTTGAATTTTCATCTATTTACACTCTACATGTCTCACTCTATAATATATGATAATAATGCAATGCTTTGACAAGCATGTAAATAAATGAATTTTTAAAAATGGATTTGAAGTAGGTTGGAAATGTTATTCAGATGAAAATAACTGGAAATCTGTTACAGTCTGGAAAAATCACACTCAAATTTACTGCCATATTTAAGAGTCAAATTCCATAAATAAATTTCAATATATGAATCTATTATTGGAAAATGAATAAAGTACAATAGGCATGCATAATAGTTCATATTGTACTTTATGTTCTATATTCACAGGTAACACTGCATTTCTATATTCTATTAGCAAAGCACTTAGCGACCCATTATTAAAATCCATGCTTATACTATAATCAAATATAGTATATATATCAAACAAAATTAATTAGGACTACTGGCTAATTTAATCAGTGATATATACAAACAAATTTCAGGGATACATATGTTTATGTGCACAGATACATGAACACAAGTAAAACAGTATTGGTATATGATCATAGAAACTTTTATTAAATAAAATAACAAAATATGATGCTATTGTTTCTCTGCATATCCTTTACCTAGAGCTATACTCTTTTTCTGAAAAATTCCTCAGTGCAATTTCTGGACTTTGTATCATCAATTGAGATTTCAATATTCTTATTACATCTTGCTAATAAACCACTTTAATTGTCCTCTGCCAAGAAATTTGATCAAGATTACCCACTTTGTATACTAAAAAAATTCAACACAATTTCATGAGCTAACCTATCTGCCTTGAATTTAATTGCACTAGCAGATCCCTTTGAAGTCTTTGTTTTGATTGGAGCTTGCTCTCTGGATTGTATTATTGAATCCAAAACCTGTTTCTGGTTATGATTCACTTCGTAAAATTGTGAGTTTTGACTTGCTTAAAGAACTGATTGTTTAGTGTCCTTGCATTGTGTGGGTACCCTAACAATACTAAGGCAAGCCTGTGAAGGAGGTTCAAAGAGTTTATGGGAAAATGGAATTCAAGGGTAATGAAATTTCCCATGAGATGTTTGAAGACCCTTCTGATTAGTTAGAGAATTTTCTGTAGTCACCACTGAGCACAGAGACGTGTTTAAAAGTCTTGTGTTTGGGACAAACCCTAGCATGCATGACTTATAACCCTAGTAGCACTACTTTTCAACTTCCTCTTGTGTGTGTGTGTGTGTGTGTGTGTGTGTGTGTGTGTGTGTTTTGGAGAGTGAGGAGGACTACAAAAATTTTGACATTTTTCTTCTAATTTTTTGAATACCCCGAAACACACACACACACACAAACACTAGAATGTAGCTATCTCATTATTGAAATAGCATTGTTATTTGAAGATAGAGGGAAAACTGAGATCTTGTTGTTCTTTTAAAAAAAACTGTTGCTGTGGCACAATCAACATCGAAACTAGTGAGAACTTATTATATTATATCATTATTATTATCTTACTGAATTACCCAAGCATAGTTTAATGTGGGACCTATTATGATAGTGTACTGTTTTACCCATTCAATGCTTCTAGTGAAAGCAAGTTTGACATCTCAACAGCATACTTTCTGTGAACATTAAAAAGGCAAGTGATTTCTAATCGAATTTCAAATTAGAGATGAGTTATTTTCCTTTAGCATAATTCAGCTTGTCTCTAAAATATGGAAATAAAACTTCTCAAAAAGATATATGAAGAATGTATGCTTTAATTTCTCTAAAATTCAGAGCCATATTGATTACTGGACAGAATGAATTTTATCTTTATAAAAACAATATAATATTCATCTATATGTACAACAAAATGATATACATTTTAATATTAAGATACTACATAACCTCTCAAGTCGAGAAGCATTAAACTTGATGAGCATTTGATCTATCTTCTTGGAACTCATAGAAAGTCATTTAAAATTAATGAAGGACTTGAGACGTATGAAAGAAGTAAAGCCAAATACTGTATCTGGGTAATTTCCCTTATTTCCCTTCCTGTGGCTTCATGATACTTAGCTCTGTTTTTAAAAGCATTAATATTCTTCATGGAAATGATCAGTGCAACAGAATTTCTTATTGTATCTGAAAAAATGATATTATAAATGTCTTAAATAATAGATTACGAATTGAATTCATATGCAAAAATAATAACAAAAAGTTATAAGATCTTATCCCAACCTAGATAGAAAAGTCAAAGGGTGAAACTCCATAGCCTATTTAGAAAAGAAGAAAATTGTTATCTGCTTTCAAACGTAAAACAGAAAAAAAATAAAACATTTTCATCCAGTCAATTTTGATTCAAATGGCCCTATTGCAAAGAGTAGAACTGCCCCAAAAGGGTTCACAAGCTGTAAAACTTTACAGATCTAGCCTGCCACATCTGCCCCATGCCAGACCCGTCTCCCACAGATCAGCTGGTGCATTGAAACCACCCACCTTTCGTTTTGCAGACAGTTCTAATATTTGTAAGCTTTGATGCCTAAACACGCGAATGCACTCCACCTTAAGAATAAAAATCTAAAGGCACAGCTTTGTTTCAAGCAAAGCCTAAATCTCTTCCAGCCCTGCTTCATTTTAATTTCAATAAAATCTAACATCAAAGGCATTCACATAGAATTCTGGATAAAGGCTACATGCTACTATATTTCTGTTATTATTTTTTTAATAATTAAGTCTGACAAATTTGCTCATACTATGTTAACATAGACATACCCATTTTTCTTTGAAGGAGAATAGAATCAAATTTCATTATGGTGAAATCTGAACATTTGGACTTCAAATGAAATATACTTAATCAAAGTATAACCATTTAGCTGGTGCAATCAGTTCACGTGGCTTTTCATTTCATCTCGCTTTTACCACAATTGGTACAAGAAAATAAGATTATATATTAATATAGCATAACCCTAAGGAAAGTAGAAAAAAAGTAACTCCAAATATTTGACACAACCTGAAAACTTTAAAATGGCCCGAACGTCATTTTTAATCTTCATGAGTTGTCAAAAAGACTAGAGAAATGCAGTGTATTGTAAGATATGTAGATTTAGCTTGAATAAGTTGTAATTATTGAAAATCTCAGGGTGCAAATATAGCTTTAGTAAATTATCTTTTTTTTTTTTTTCACTATTTGACTCCACTCCACCCAAAATAGTTGCCCTGATGGCACACTGCTTCAGTGTTCAAGTGCTAACGGAAAGGTCAGAAGTGTGAATCTGCCAGTCACCCTGCAAAAGCATGAGGTGGCACCTGCTTTCAAAAAGATTACAGCCTAGGAGTCTTCCAGGCAGTTCTCTGCCCTGCAGGGCTGCGATGGTTAGTAAACATTTGATGACAATGAGTTTATGCACACCGCTTATTAGTGAGTTACTGCCATGATTAAATAACTTCAAGTTAAAATCTATTTTAATGGAGGAAAGGAACAACAAAAACCCTTAACTAATTTATTTTTGAAATATTAGGCTACTATGAGGTTAAACGCACAGTTTAATTAAAAGTGAGTAAGTAGTTACATATATTTTCTGAAAGCAAGGCTAGTTCATAGCATTGCCAAGAGAAAGCCTGTCCTGACATTGTGCTCCCACCTCATCTATCTGTGGTTCCTGAGCCTGGGCAGCCTTGGGTGAGGAAGAGTCGCAGTCGGGGCTGTAATGCTCACAGTAGTCATATGCTGCTTTGGGGTCACCTGTGATCAACAATTGCTGGATGTCCCCCTGCAAAAAAACAAACATGGATGTAGTCAGCATTCCCAATACACAGGTTCACGGAGCAAACTTTATCCCAAACCATGTGTAGTTTATTTTAAAAACCTAAAGATAAATATATATTTTATATATATATAAATATAAATTATAGTTCAATGTTTAAGAATAGTCTTAACAGATTAAGATAAAAGATAAAACACATACATATTTTAAAAACTACCTGATAATCTGTTATTTCCTTATCATTTGTGGTTCATGAAATCTATACTTTGTGTGCATATTTGATAAAACTTGATTCTTTTCACTAATAGCTTATGGTATCTGACATAAGGTAAACAAAATATAAGAAATGAAGAGAGCAAATATTACTTTTGAAGTGCAAATATATAATGAAAATGATGTTATTCAATATTAAATAGACACAAATTGATCTCAGTCATTATTGTTATCCTAAAATCTGAAAATAAAATATATAGATTGATTTTATTAGTGGAAAAAAATAAAAATATATATATCAAGTAAGGTTTGTGGATTTTTTATTAAGAAAACATGACCCAACTAATCATAGACCAAAATGCACTTATTTAGAAATCCTTATTATTTTAACACAAAGATAAAATATAAATATTTAATATAGAATTATCTTAAGTGTTTTCCTTCCAACAGCATCTGGAAGTTGAGTAAACAAAAGAAATTGTAAAATATGACTGTTTCTCCTGAAAAAGATGACATGTTAACATAAAACTAGTTTGCTATGAATCTAGTTAACTCTGAATTACAACTAAGCATGCGTAATATTTCACTGATCACGTTGAATAATCAGGCTCCCCTACATTTAGGAAAATAAATCTGATGAACAGATGTGCAACATTGCTCTGTACATGCTTGAGCCTTCATGAGAACACAGGTTTGAATTACAAATTCAGCATGATGAAAGTATCTATAAGTAACTATAACATAATGTATAAAGTTTTATTGAAAAATGTACTATACATAAAGCATTGAACATAGAACTATGGAAGTAACAAGTTAAATGTGATGGGATCCCTTCCCCCAGGAGAGTAAAATTACAACTTAGTGGTTATGAATATTTAAGATTTAATAAATGTTAACATATGCAACTTAAGAACATATACAACACAGTGCTTTGAGAAGTGTCAATAATAAATATAAATGATTTAAGTTTAGCAGCAATCCTTTAGTATATACTTGTGAGATAGGCACAAGTATATAATACTTGTTTTCTTCTTTGGTTTCTTCTTTCTAAAAGCCAATTTTCATCCTCATCCTGAGAATTAGCATTATGTTTAACGATCACAAACCTACATTTCTATCTCATCTTTAACTGTGAAAAACAATTGCATATAATTTACAGATCATAAAATTCACTCCTTCGAAGAATAGAATTGGCTTTTATTATTTTCACAAGGTTGCCTAACTATCTACCACCACAACTTAATTTCAGAAAATTTCGTCACAACAAAAATAAACCTCCTAACTATTGGCAGTAATTTTCCATGTCTCCCTTGCACATCCTCATGTACCACTGGTACCACGAGTTTAGCTTCTATGGGTTTTGAACATTTGAATCTCTGGAACCAACGAGTGTGTCACCTTTTGTGATTTGTGTCTTTCAGTTGTTAGATCCTGTCAAGTTGGTGCCCAATTCATAGCAAGCACATGCACAGTGGAAAGAAAAGCCATTTTACCCTGCCCCATACCATTGTGTGGTTGTGTATCTGACTGAGTCTATCAGGTGTCCAGAAACTGCTTTTTGGCAGAGGATAATCAAGTCAGTCTCTTGATTCCATCTTAATCTGACAGCCACTGAGATTCGCTCAGCAGCAAATTGTTGTTGTTGTTAGGTGCGTGCAATTGGTTCTCCCTCATAAGGAACGCAGGTACAAATGCAGCAAGCATCTTGTGGTCCCGCAGGTCCTCCCGACTTAAGCTGTGTTGCCCATTGTGCGGCCCATTGTGCGGCCGCTGCGTTCACTCCTGTCATCGAGGAGCCTTCACTCTTCTGCTGATACTCTGACTTACCAGCGCGATGTCCTGCTCCAGGGCGGGCCCCTCCAGACAATGTGGACTACCACGTTACACAAAGTCTTTCCATTCTTGCTTCTATGGAGCATTCTAGTTGGACATTCAAGAGAAACTGATTTTTCCCCTGGAAGTCCAACGTATTCAGTAGTCCTCACTAATACAATAATTCAACGGCACTAATTCTTCCCTGGTCTTCTAATTCTCTCTGCACATTCTCTCCGGAAATTCTGCTCTTTTCATTTTGCTCTTGTCTTCTTCATGACATCCTACTTTCTTTAGTTATATGCTCTATATATCATCCCCATACCTCAGCCATTCAGCCTTCAGTCATTAGTGTTCAATGCGTCAAATCTATTCTTGAGATGGTCTATAAATAAAGGTGGGGTATACTCAAGTTTATATTTCGGCACTTTTGGATTTGTTTTTATCTTCTTCAGCTTCCGCTTGAATTTACCTATGAGAAAATTATTGTCTATTGTAGTAGCTGGCCTCTGATCTTGTTCTGAAAACTCACCTTAAGTTTGCCCATCATCTCTTTCCATTGACGTTGAAAACATTCAACATCATAGCAAACTGCAAACCGCCATTGACAGGACAGGTGGAGGACGTGAAAGGGTGTAATGATTGGGAACCAAACTTCTATAGTTTTCATCAATGTTTTAACATATATCAAGATGTCTTGATGAAGAAGCATTTTAGAGACATAGCAGTTTGTTGAGTTAGCCATGGGTTCTGGTGATTTGGTTGTTTACACTTATTACCTACTGTATTGTGTCTCATATCTTATCATTTCTGTTCATTTATTGCTTCATTATTGTTTTCTTTTATGTTAAACTTTTTAAAATGTACATTTTTTTCCAGTTTCTTTTTCTCTATTTTTATTTTTTTTAGGAGTTGGTCAACTTTTCTCAGATCAGCACTTCAATATTATATTCTCAGATCAAGTTTCAGTATTATACAAAATTCAATGTTAAGCAAAAATTTGTTCCTGTATACTTCTATTTCCTATTCTCTCCTTTAATATTATTATTCAAAGTTCTTAAGATTTCCTAATAATTTTGTTTTTGTTTATCTGGAAAAATCTTTGTTTCCCCCTCCATTCTACTGGTTAGCTTTGTTTGGTATAGAAATTTTGGTTGACAGTTTTTTTGAGGGAGGGTTGGGGGGGGGGATTTTATACTATGTCTTCCCTCAATATTTTGGTCTCTGTGGTATCTGATGACAAATAAACTCTTCATCTTAAATGAAATCAATAAAATATTATGAGTCACTCATCTCTTGTTGCTTTAATCCTCCTTTCTTTGCCGTCGTTTTTAAAATTTTTGATTTAGGATTTCCGTAGGTCAGTGACTTATTTAATGCATCTCTTCTAGAGAAAGTCTCTGAAACTCCCAACAATGACCTGTCCCTGCATCAATCAAAATGTGAAGCTATTCATATGTAAATAGTATTCACATGTAAATGTTAACAGGATTCATTGGATTACCATCATGCGAAATATAACATGAGGCCTCTGAGAAGTGGAGTAGGTATGAATATCACTGCCAAGAAGAGCCAGGGGTGGAGCAAGTCCTCTGGACCCTGAGATCCAGAAGACAGCTGACACTAGAAGAACAGCAGCAGAGCCAGGAACCTGAGAATGAAACAGTGTTGAACTTCCCAGCCCACATAGCAATTAAAGTTAGTGCTCTTGGGCAGGGGGCTGGCTTGGGAGTATCAGCCTCAGGGCAGTTAATAGGAAGATTTGGATTACATATCCATAGATTAGGAGCTGACTGCCTTTGGATAAGGTTTACAGCTGTGTAGTATGCCCTTTGGGTATTTATTAATTGCCCTGGGGGAGCTTTGTAACATGTCTAGATTAAATTTTTGTATGTATTTATCATCTGCATTGTAGCCTGTTAACTTTCTTAAAAGAATCTTTCAATATTATGACCCAAGGCTTGCTTTTCTTCAGTCCTTTCCATTCATGATAGGCTGAGCAGTTATCAGAAAGATATCATTATAAAGTCTATTATGGCAGACATAGGCCAAAATGCAATATCTTACCATTTGATATCCCCTTTGACCCATTTTAAAATTGCTTCAGTTGAAAAAAAAGTGGAGGGAAATACATGTGGATTAAGCCCATAGTGAATTCCCTCTGACTATGGGCCAGAGATGTGAATAGCCTTGCTATCATGCCTTGGAAAGTGGATTGTTATAGACACAATTAGGTTAAAATTTAGCACCTTATCATTCATTTAAATTTGTTCTAGTTTTTAATATTTTCTGCTTTCTTTTCAATTGAGGTTTTTATGCTTTACTTTGTTACTGTTGAGAGTTTTTAAGACAGGTAAATCTATCAAGACAGTAACTGGTTCCTTGGTGATATGGAGTTGGGGGGGAAATGGGGAGCTAATAATGACGAGTATAAGAATGAAGAAAGTGCACTAAAACTGATTGTGAAAATGGTTGTACAACTCTTCTTTTTTTAACTCCCTGTACAACTCTTCTTGATGTGATGAACTAATGAATTGTATGATATGTGAATTATATTCTAATGAAACTGTTAAACAAAGAAATAAAGAATACCAATAAAGATAATGACAAGTAAATATAAAAAATTAATTGACCACATATGAAAAAAAAAAGATAGGCTGAGCATGTTCTTCTTTTGCTTTTCGTTTCATTCAAACATTTCACTTTGCCTTCTCCAGCTGTCCTTTGAAATACTCTGTTCAGCTCTTTGACCCCCTTGCTTCTTCCATTTGCCTTAGTCACTCTCTGATTAAAAACAAGTTTCAGTGTCTCTTCTGACATGTCTTCATATTTGTCTTTTTAATGACCTTTTATTTCCTTTGTGCTATATTTGAGGTCATCCTACAGCTCTTTGGGTGTACTGTAATTAGGGTTTAGTGCACCAAATAGTTTCTTGCTGCACAAGACTTCTTTAAAGTATTAAAAAACAAGGAGGTTATTTC